GCCAGTAGATATAGACAGTGATTCCTGAGGTCTGAAGCAATATAATTTAGGAATCCTTTAAAGAAAAGTAATACAAGCCTGGCATGGCGGTGTCTTCTTATACTCCCAGTACTCAGGAGGCTAAGGCAAGAAGACTACCTATGTTCAAGGCCACCCTGGGCCAAGCCAGGTAAGGTTACAGAATAAAACTATCTTCCAGGGACTTTGCATGGAGATAACCTAGAACCCCTGCACAGATGTAGCCTATGGCAGCTCAGTGTCCAAGTGGGTACCCTAGTAAGGGGAACAGGGACTGTCTCTGACTGGAACTGATTGGCTCTTTGATCACCTCCCCCTGATGGTGGAACAGCCTTACCGGGCCACAGAGGAAGACAATGCAGCCAGTCCTTGATGAGACCTGATAGGCTAGGATCAGAGGGAAGGGGAGGAGGACGTCCCCTATCAGTGGACTGGGGGAGGGGCATGGGAGGAGATGAGGGAAGCAGGATGGGATTGGGAGGGGATGAGAGAGTGGGCTACAGTAGGGACACAAAGTGAATAAACTATAATTTATAAAAAATAAATAATAAAAAAAGACTATCTGCACAGAGGAAGAAAAAAAGAACAGGAAAACAGGGAAGAGGGAAAAATAACAAGAAATTAGGAATAACTTCAAGTATAAAGTATAAATTTAGAATGAAAAAAAAAATTCTGTGTGTTAAACACAAAGCTGAAATATACCACAAATAATACAAATTCCAGAAAAAAAAAAATGCAGTGTTTTTGTTTAGGATTATTTTTTATTAGGGGGCTTTTCCACCTGATCAACCTATACAGAAGAGCCAGCCCAGTGTGAGCTTCCATCCCCTCTCCCTGCTTTCTGTTACACCACAGTGCTCATCCAAAGGCACAGCATTGATGCCATTCTGTCCTATTGGTTTGCCTTTTGTCTTTCTCCCGAGGGCCAAAGCCTTTCTGTTGAGTTTGTTATTTTGCCCCCCCCCCACACACACACACTCAGAACGTGGTAGGTATATTCCTCCAACAGCATAGGTAGAGAATTGATTTCAACAGCCATTCCCTCCCGTAGGGAATAACAAAGTCTTCAGATGCTCAAGTCTCTCACATGAAGGGGCATAGCATTTGCATTTAGCCTGTGTGTAAGTCACATCCAGCTTGCTTATAATGCCTTAATACTGTGTAAATGCTCTACTTATTGTTGAAGAAACAATAGCCAAGAAAGTTCATACAAATTTTTAACTTTTGTAAAATATTTTGAATTTTTGATGGCTTGAGTGTAGGGATGTGGAACATGAAGACACAGAAGACTTACTGTACTCAAAGAAAGTTATTTTACAAAATATGTGTAGATTGTGATCCACTGCTTCTTGCAGGTCTTTGTTTTCTTTTTAATCTGTTTGTGCACGTGTGCATACTTACTAAGACATGCCTGTGGGGTCAGAGGACAACTCACAAGGGTTCATTCTCTTCCTTCCACCATGTCACGTTCCAGAGAGTAAGCCAGGTTACCAAGCTTGATGGCAAGCACCTTTATGCACTGAGACATCTCACCAGCCCCACTCTCTATTCTTTTTTTTTTTTTTTTTGAGTCATATTTATGGCAGAAAGTATAGCTCAGTGTATTGGTATAATGTTCTTTTGGAATGTATACACCTTACCCTTGTTCATTCAAATGCTGGTTTCTCTTCCCCACTATCTGGTTTCAATCCAGACATTGCTTTGTTATACTTATTCTAAGCATCACCTGTCTCAAGTTTGTATAAACATGCCACCATCTGTTCTCTAAATGGTCAATTAAAACAACCAGCCCGAATGTTGAGCAATGGAGAGGATAGGGTGGGACATCCTGGTTCAGAGTGGGAGGGGAGGAAGGAGGAGCTGGAGGAGAGGAGAAGCCAGAGGAGAGGAAGGAGTAGGAGGAAAAAGAGGAGCAGAAGCTGGGAGAGAGAGGCTAAAGGAGAGGTCTTGGAATGACGTGGAGAACAAACTGGACCTAAGGTATCACTAAAAGCAAGTATAATGGGTGAATCTGACTGTTAGGAAACTATGCGGGCTGGGAGGTTTAGGATGGAGTAACTATTGCCCAGCATTGTGCTCTAGGTTAACTAAATAAATCATAGTCTCTGTGTGGTGATTTGGTTATACAGCTGTTTAGGATTAACCACAACTTTACTAAAAGATATATCAATAGTAAATATTATAAATACAACATCTGTGTTAGAGCATTTGGGAGAGAAAAGACAGGAAGACTAGAAATCAATCAAAACTTTAAAAAGTAATTATCTTGATAAGATAATAAATGACTTCTGTAGTGAAAAGTTTGGTTTCTTAAAAAACCCAGTTATGTTAGGTGAGTATGTTTTTGTTTTAATCCCAGGTGTGGGATATGGGGCTGCTCCAGATTGTCCACAGCAGCTAACAGTGATTTATCTCATGCTCTAGGAGGGGTGTGATTTCTGTCAGGTTCGAATAGTTTACATTTGGAATTCTGGGGACTCCTGACAGTGTGTAAGTGTGAGAACCTCAAGAGGGCCTGTGGGAGCTGTTGCTGGATTGCTGGTTGCTTTTTGGAGATACTCTGATGATGAAGATTGTACTTGCCCAAGGAATTTAAAGCCCCTAATCAGCAGAAAATAGTCTAAAGAGAACTATGCCCCCATTTCTCCTCTAACCTTTTTTCTTGCCTACCTAGTGTTGGGGTGTTGGGAGGGATTAGGGTGGAGAAATTGTATATGTAAGAATCCAAAAAAGTAGCTAAAAAGCCCAGCTACAGACTTCTTTCTAATTTTCTCAATACTTCAATGTTTTTTCAACAGAATATTTACATTTTCACACAAATTATAGACAAAAATGCTTATGGTGAATGTGAACTGAAAAATTTAGATACAAAACATAACTACTGTGAACCTGATTTGTTCCTGTTTTTTTGTTTGTTTGTTTGTTTGTTTTTATGTTTTGCTTTGAGTGATTTTAAATTTGTTATTCTTCTGCCTCTACCTTTAGAGTGACAGGAGAACCAACACCCATTATTATGCCAGGTGTTTGGCTTTTTTATGTTAAAACAAAGGAAATGCAACAATAATTTGCTATTTCCCCTTGGAAGTCGGAATAACAATCAGCTCTCATTACTTTCGCTTTCTTTCTTGTGTTTTTGCAGATTTTATAAAGGACATAAGTTCCTTTGATGATGCAAAAAAAATAAAAATAAGAATTGTTACTATCAAAAAAAGAATAGGGTTAAGGAAAATAAGCTTCTGTTGAACTGGGACCATAGCTAGATTGCTGGCAGTATTTCAAGAGGCACAAGAAGACAGAAGGGTACCAGGAGGAAGAATAGACTACATTAGTTACTTTTCTTGTTACTGTGTCCAAACGGCTTGTGTTGGCTTACAGTTTGAGAGGCTACAGTCCATGAAGGTGGGAAAGATGCAGCAGTGTAGGGAGGCACTACCTTGCCTCTGCAGTCAGGAAGCAGAGAGAAGGCAGAAAGTGAGGTAGCTCCCAGTGACCCACCTCCACCAGCAAGGCTCCTCTGTCTAAAGGGTCACAACCTTCTAAACAGTGCCATTAGCTGGAGACCAGGGGTTCAGATGCCTGTGCCACTGGGGAGCTTTTCACATTGAAATCCAAACGGGGACCTTGATGTGATTAAGGTGTTAATAGGGAAGGAAAGAAAGAAGAGACCCACCACAGGGAAAGATGAATGTAATAATGGAAAGGAAGTGAAGCTGAAAAAGTAAGGTGCACTCACCCTCATCTCCATCCAAATAGGTGCCCACCTTCGCAGTCGTGTAAGGGCTAGAATGATACATTAGTGAGAATGCAGGAGAAGGGGATCACACTTGGGTACAAGGTACCAAAATGTGTAAACTTCTGCTGTGCTCTTTTCAAAAGGAATGAAGAAAATCTTTACTCTGAATTTGTCCTACATGCTCTCTTCATTTTAGGTTTTTCAAATGAGCCATGTGACTAAGTGTATTCATGCCTTGACTTAACTGTGCATTAAGTCCATGCATTGATGACTGACCAGAACTGAAAATAACAGGACACATTCTTGTGGTCCCAGGGGACTGCCTGGCTAATAGAATAATGATAATTAGGCTGTGCTGAATCTACCTCCTCACTATGAAATAGAATGCCAAATAGGAGTAGTTAGTATTCATTGAACGCAGCATGCACATAATCAGATAAAAGAAAAGTACTTAATGAAGGCACGGAACACTTAGTGAAAAGTCCTCTAGCATTTATTTTTGTAGGACAATAAAGTAAAATGTGAGTTAGTTTTAAAATTCATAGCTTATCTAAAGGAACACCCCAAGAGTTACTGCCTACATATAAAATTACTTCAGAGAACTGGAAGACTGTATTATAAAATGGAATGAATCCAAAACTCTTTTTTTGTTAGAATATACATTGATATATTAAAGTGCTTTTAATTAGAGATAATTAGAATAATAGTCTATATTTAAAATAATTATATACTAAAAGATGAATATAAAATGATGGGAGCTTGGCTATAAAATTTTTAACTTGAACAATATCAAGGCATAATAGTACCTTGTCTTTAAGAACATACCTTTTTGCTAATCAGTCTTTTCACCTCACTTGCCCTTCTTTTGTCTACGGTAGAAGAAATTCTCCCTAACTTATAGACCTTGATTTGGCGGGGAGAGAAAAAAAAAATTATTGGAGCTGTATCTCTATGACAAAGTTACAAATATAAATTCCCTGTTGAAACAAAACTTTGAAGAAATGGATCCCCTGAAATATTAATGTTTAGATATAGGTAGCTTCATATTTAATGTATGAGAAGTCTGAGTGATTCTCACATTAATAATAGTTAAAAGGAAATAAAGCTACAAAGCCCATCTAAGGAAGATGCTGCGTATGATCCAGGTAGTGATAAAATGAAAAACAGATTAGAACAATCAGAAGCCCTCTTCTTCTCAATTGGGTTAGCGAGGTGTTTTCAAAATGAGGGTGATCAAGATATTCCCATCATACTTCTGACAGGGGAGACACCATGATCAGGAAAGTGGCTTTCCCAGGGCAAGGCTCACCCATTGCATGTGGAGAGTGCTGACCCCTACATTTCCCCAAATGAGGGGAGCTGAAACACACAGTCTGTGGTAGTGGAAGACTGTGTTCATGCTCTCCCCTGGGAGGTGGGAGGAATCGTCAATCATCAGCAATAGCATGTTAAGACAATGCCAACATTTGGGAAAGCAAGTTGGCACTATAGATTAGGAAGCACAAGTAAATTTATAATTTTAATTTAGCAATTTAGTTGCAGGGGAAAAATGTTATAAAACGTGTTATAGAATGTTATGAAAAAGCTGCAAGCAAGAAAAATATTCATCTATGCTTTACTTGTAATAGAAAAAGAGGAGGAAAGCAGAAGGTACCTGAAAAATATCCACCTATCTATTGAAAGAATGCAAGTTATGATACATTCCTTTGGTATATTCTGCATAGTAGGGAAAAACTGAAGAGAAACATAGAGTTTCCTATAGGGGGTTAAACTGTAACAATATTTTTCGAAATGCTTTCATTTTATGTTTGTGAGTGTTTTCCTTTGCATATATGTCTTTGCACCATGGATGTGCCTGCTGTCCTTAGAGGCCAGAAGAGGGTATCAGATCCCCTGGAACTGCAGATACAGACAGTTGTGAGCCACCATGTAGGATACTGAGAATCAAAACCTGGTCTTCTGAAACAGCAGCCAGTGCTCTTAACCACTGAGCCATCTCTTCAGCCCCAAGAACAGGAACAAAAATTACCATTTCTATGTTTGTAATTCTTCAGAGACTTACTTTTTTAAAAGTATCAGAATGAAAATGATAATGATAGCATTTAGGGTAGCATGGGTGCCTGTTTTTTGTTTTTTGTTTTGTTTTGTTTTGTTTTTGTTGTGTTTTGTGTTTTCCTCTATGGTCTATGTTGTTTTTTTTTTTTTTGTAATGTGACTATTTTGCTTTTTAAGATGAAAATGTAATCAACTTGGGGGTAGAGTGTTTCCTTTAAGGTCTTGTTTTTGTTTTTAGTTTAGCTTATTTTTTAAGTCACTGCAAATTTAAAAATTGTGTGTATTTGTCTATGCACCGCATGTGTGCCTGGTGCCCACAGAGGTCAGAAAAGAAGAGTCAGATGCTCTGGAGTGGTAGGTACAGATGGTGTGAGCCTGTAAATGGGTGCTGAGAACCAAGCCTGGGTCCTCTAGAAGGGCAGCCATTGATTGCTCTTAACTGCAGAGCCATCTCTGCAGCTTGAAGGTTTTTTCAGGCAGTGTTTCCTGCCATCTTTTGTAATGTTGCTAAGTCTCTGAAGCCTTGATAAAGCCAGATAATTTAAAGTGAAAATCAGGAGGAAATTTTTAGGTAAAATGTCCATGATGAACTCTGATGTGAAAAAACTGAAATCCTAATTGTTTTATCTTATATGATTTTGACTGTTTAAAATAAGGCTTGGCCTTCTGAGACATAAGTCTAAAAGCACAAGAATCAAAGAAAAATAAGATGACCTGGATGGCAGTAAAATTGATAGCTTTCTGCTTCAAAGGAAACCATGAAGAAAATGAAGAGACAACCCACAAAGTGGGTAAAAATACTTGCCAGCCAGAAATCGGATACTGACTTGCATCTGAATACATACACACATATAACTCAACAATAAAAAGACAGCCCAATTTTACTTATTTATCTATTTATTTATAGGGTATTGGAGTCTTTTGGTTTGGCTGGTTAGTTGGTTGGTTGGTTCAGTTTGCTGTTGGTGGTTTGTTTTGTTTTTGAGACAAGGTTTTATTATGTGTAACCTTGATAACCTGGAACTCCTTGTGTAGACCAGTCTGGCCCAGAAGAGAGATCCTGCTTCCTCCACCTCCAGAATGCTGAGATTAAAGACATGTACCTCCACGGACATGTTTAAATATTTTCTCAAAGATATACAAATGGCCAACAATCCCATTAAGTGCTCAGGAAACTGCAAAGCAGAACCACAGCAAAGCAACCCTTTGTGCCCTTAGGATGTCTGTCATCAAACAGCAGATGTCAGCTAGAGTTACAAGGATGGAGAGCCCTCGCACACTGCCGGTATGAATGTCATTGCAGTGTGGCTGCATTGGAAACCAGTCTGGAGATCAAATATACAACTATGATATGAGTCAGCATGCATTTCTGGGAGAATGAAAACGTGCTCACACAAAAAAAAGTATACACCAACAGTCAGAGCATCTTTACATATTCAGCCCCAGTGTCCATCAACAGAAGATGGCCATCCATGTAAGAGAACATTGTGTGGAATGGAGTCTTCATACATGCCACGGTGTGGATGAGCATGCTGATTTTATGAGACTGGTCACAAGCACCACACTTTGCATGGTGTGTCTATGGGAGATGTTTAGAACATGAAAGTCTATAGAGACAGAACGTAGGTGGGGTTACCTACAGCCAGAAGTCAGAGGGTAAGGTATGATCATGGGGCTGTTTGGGGAGAATGACGAAAATAACCTAAAATTATCTGGGTGTTTTGTTGTTGTTGGTGGTGGTGGTGATGGTGTGGGGGTAGGGAGAGAGAGAAAGAGACAGAGAGGGAGAGAAAGAGAGAAGGACCTGATGTCATTTGTTTGTTTGCTTGCTTGCTTGATTATTTCTATGTAGCCCTGGCTGTCCTGGAATGCACTATGTACACCAGCATGGCCTTGAACTCAGAGATCCATCTGGTCTACCTCCTGTGTGCTGGGGCTAGAGTCATTCACCACCACACCTGGCCTGAACCCAGAGAGAGCCTCATGATTACTAAGTATATGCTTTATCACTGACCTACACCCCAAGATGGTATTCTAAAATTTGATTCTAAGTTACAGTTATAGAATCCTGCAAAGATATTTTAAAAAAATCACTGAACTCGTGTTTTAGATGAGGGAATTATGCAGCATGTGAGTTATATTTCCACTAAAGCAGTGTATTTTAAAATGATACCTATATCTTGACCCAAGCAAAAAGAAGGGGGTGTGTAGGTGTTTTGACACACCCTTACAAATCTGAACCCATGGGAGGCTGAGGAAAGAGGATTGCTGTGAGTCCAGAGCATGGGCTAGATAGTGAGTACCAGCCCAGCCACGACTGTGTAAGAAGATAAAATAAAACAAAGAGCAGTTGGTCAGATGGCTCAGTGTTAAGAATGCGCTGCAAGTCTTGGTGAGATTAGGGATACAAGGGAAATACCTAAACATAATAAAGGCAGTTTATAGCAAGCCGATAGCCAACATCAAATTAAATGGAAAGAAATCCAAAGCAATTCCACTAAAATCAGGAACAAGATAAGGTTGTCAACTCTCTCCATATCTATTCAATATAGTACTTAAAGTTCTAGCTAGAGCAATAAGATGACTGAAGGAGATCAAGGGGATACAAATTGGAAAGGAAGAAGGCAAAGGATTGTTATTTTTAGATGATATAATAGTATACATAAGCGACCCCCAAAATTCTACCAGGAAACTCCTGATAAACACCTTCCGCAAAGTGTCTGGATTCAAGATTAACAACAACAAAAAAAAAATCAGTAGCCCTCCCCCCCCATATACAAATGACAAATGGGTCATTTGTAAGAAATTAGGGAAACAGCACCCTTCACAACAGCCACAAACAATATAAAATATCTTGGGGTCACCCTAACCAAGCAAATGAAAAAGTTGTATGACTTCAAGTATTCGAAGAAAGAAATTGACAAGAATATATCAGAAGATGGAAAGATCTCTTATGCTCATGGATTGGTAGGATTAATATAGTAAAAATGACCATCTTACCAAAAACAAAACAAAAACCCAAAAACATACAGATTCAATGCAATCCTCATCAAAATTCCAACACAACGTTTTACAGACCCTGAAAGGACAATTCCCAACTTTATATGGGAGGAAAATAAGATTGCTAAAACAATCTTGAACAATAAAAGAACTTTTGGAAGTAACACTGTCTTCCTTAGGGCTTTATTGCTGTGAAGTGACACCATGATCAAGGCAACTCTTACAAAATAAACCATTTAATTGAGGCTGGCCTACAGTTTCAGAGGTTCAGTCCATTATCATATCAGGAAGCATGGAGGCCTGCTGGCAGATGTGGTGCTGAGAGTTTTATATCTTGATCCAAAGGCTGCCAGGAGGAGGCTCTCATTCTACACTAGGTCGGGCACAAGCATAGAAAACCTCAAAGCCCGTCCCCATGGTGACACACTTCCTCCAACAAGGCCACACTTCTAATAGTGCCACTCCCTGTGGGTCAAGCATTCAAACACATGAGTCTCTGGGGGCCAAACCTATTCAAACCACCACAATCACCAAACCTGAGGTCAAGCTGCACTTTTGTGGGGTATTCACCAGAGAAGACTGCTCAGACATGGGTTTAAGCCAATGGAAAGTCTTTTTTAGCTGGCCAGCTACTACCCTAGGTATTTGGGATCCCAGTGTAGCACTGAGCCTTTCTTAGGATGAGCTTTTAAGCACAATAAAAACACGTTCTGGGTTGACATACTTCAGTTAACAAGAACACTTAGAAGCAGAACTACAGAAGCTAGAAAGCAAGGTGAGCACATTTTGAGACTTTCACAGAAGTATATGGACTTTGATGGATTGGGTCTTTTTTTGGGGGGGGGGGTGATGTTGCCTACAGGCTGAGTTTTACAACCTAAATGGCATTTCTGTCATGGAATCAGTTGTGCTAAGGTCCAGGGTCCTGTTATAGTGCTACAGAGCTATAGTAATAAAAACTGCATGGTATTAGTGTAAAAACAGACATGTCATTGATCAATGGAATCAAACCAAAGACCCAGACGTGTATATTCACACACCTATAAACACCTGAAGTTTGTAAAGAAGCCAGAAATACATAATGGAAAAAAGAAAGCATCTTCAACAAATGGTGCTGGTCTAACTGGATGTCTGCATGGAGGAGAATGAAAATAGGTCCACATTTATCATCCTGCACAAAACTAAAGTCTAAGTGGATCAAAGACCTCGACTTAAAACCACATACACAGAACCTGAAAGAAGAGAAAACAGAGAATAGCCTTGAACTCATTGGTACAGGAGACAACTTTCTGAACAGAACACCAACAGCTCAGTCACTAAGATCAACAATTAATAAATGGGACTTCATGAAAA